TATATATATATATATATATATATATATATATATATATATATATATATATATATATAGTAGCCGGCATTCAAAAAAGCCCTTCCCCCTCCCTCTCCTGGGCATGCATATTTTTGTACTCTGACTCCACACTTTCACTAAATTAGTGTCTAACCAGGAGAAGGCACTTCTCTTCACATCTTAATCTCCACAAATCATGATCTTAGGGGACCAGCCAAGGGCCCACCATGGAAAGTGAGGACATTTTGAATGGCTACTACTGTATAGATAAATGTGGATAGATAAATAAATACGACAGGCAGAAATAAATAGCATGGAAGAAATAAATAGGGTAAAAAAAAATACAAAGGAAGAATAAACCAGACAAAATATTATAACATGCACAAAAAGAAATACTTAATGAAATAAGTAATGAATAAATAAAGTTGAAGATTATAACGGACAATAAATAAATAAGGTAATTATTCCAAAGGCAAATAAACAAAGAAGCTAATTAAAAGAGGTATATACATTTATGTCTCACTGTATAATTTAATTTCTGCTACATTTATTTGTTCATTGTATTTTTAGGGGGGAATTAATTGTATGCGTATTTATTTTTGGAGCATTTATTTATCTCTGTATTTATTTTTTAAAATGACAGGATTGGTCCTACATAAAGCATGTGAACGGAGCGGACCGGCGCACAATTGCCGCCCGCCACTCTGGAGGATGTTCGCTCATTCGTTCCGCCGCTGAAAGTTGCGCCAGGACACTCCGTTTAAAATCTGCTGACGTTCCAGGGAAATCGATCCAAGCTGATTACAATTTTCAGGAGAAGGCATTTTCTGACATTTTTCCTTCATGTAATTATGCCAGGGCCCTGGGACACACAGTGTTTGATTTAATGATGTGACCTATACATGTGTATTGTCTTATTACAATTAGCTGTTAAATTATCACACTGTTTCATGTTGCCCCGTGTTTCCTATGTAATTATTAATTATTTTACTAGACTACATTGCAAATGAGATAATAGCGTATAATACATGTATGCAATCCATTTTCCAAAACAGGCTCTTACCATAATGATCACTTTATGTTAACCCACTCTGTATTGTTAAGTTATGTATTTATGATATTTTATCTCAATTTTAAATATCACACAGTATGCATCTCAGCGATTTAGTGGTTAAGTTGAAACATAGACTATAACAGATTATAGGCACAGACTACAGCATAGGCATTGGCCTAGGTTTTAAGTTAAACATGAATTTAAATAAAGGGGCTTTGATAAGCATCTCCCTGAAATTAGTTTTTGGAACTTGGGATGTGTGTAACATGTGGTTCCATTCTAGGTGCGCAGTCACTATTTTTCCCTGTGTGATATGTGATGATACACTACTGAGAAGTGAATAACTGTATCTTCTTGGCCAATTTATGGAACAGTTGCCATATCCTGAACCTTTATCATGTGTTGTACTTCATATAGGGCCCACCCAGATATTGTTGCTTACAGGCCTATTGTTGTGTTGGTATGCCATTAGATATGGGAATGTGTGGAATATGATCTCTATTTTAATCATAATTCTGGCTGTAGCATATTGAATTAGCTGAAGGCTTTTAAATACAGTTTGCGGACTTCCTGATAATAAAGAAATACAAAAGTCCAGCCTTGAAGTAATAAGTGCATGGACTAGTTTTGTACAGTATCACTCTTTCACAAAATATGTCAAACTATTGCGATATTCCAGAGACGAAAGAGGGAAATCCTAGGAACCTGTTTGTCAAACCTTGTGTTATTCAAAAACAAAGCAGTTCATTGTTTCATTTTTTTTCTTTTTTTCTACATCTCGATGGGACTTTCCAGAGCTTTGCAGTCAAGCCAACTTACCATTTTAAGTTCCTTTTACCTTAATACTTTTTTTTTTCAGGGAGGTGAAAACTGACATGGATAAATATTTGTTGTGATTGTTGCCACAAATAAGAAAGTGGTACAATGCTAGACAGAAGTAACAATAGCAGTATAATATAAAAAAAAAAATAAAAAAAAAAACATCGAGGCACCTCTGGTGTCTTCCCCACTCTTTATTGGATAAAGGGAGTCTCTTGTTACAATAGATGACGGAACTCTAAAGGAATGCATGGGGAGGAAGTTGCAGCGTGATATGGTCATACACGTCCATTTATACACATGAAAACCAGGTGCCAGGAACTGAATTGACAAGGAAATATGATTATCACTTTAGTCCAGTTGTTCAGTTTTACTTTACCTCTGAATAAAAATAAAAAAAATACATGAAACAAACTATATTCACTCCAACATTTCAGCAACCCAAGTGCACCATCACACAATCCCTTAAGCCTGCCCCTACAAATTATTTCTACTTATTTTTATATTAGACAGCCAATAATGCAGATTATTTAAATAGCAACATACAGCTGGAACAGTCCTGTAACCCTGAGCACCTTAGTCTGGTTATTTAATAAATAATTTTTTAGGAAAACCAGAGAAAGCTTCAAGGCAGAGCTTTCCATTAACAGTCCTTAAAGCTTTATCTTACTGGATGGCAGGATCATTTTCTGAGGTAGAGATGCTGTCAGTGGCTGCAAGATACAAAACATGCTGTTAATATGTAGAATATGAAACAGGCTTAATGGTATTTTAAACAGGGGGCAAAAACTAACATGCTAAGAAGCGAGGTCTATTAACATAAGGTAGAGTGTTTTCTACAATGTCTACTGTTATTAAAGGGAAAAAAGAATAATTTGATTCAATAATTTGTTTAAATAAACTGATAAACATTAAGATAATAACTGAGTGGATGTGCTCTCTTCGTCCTCTGGCATGGGAGCTGGCTCGGAGCTCGTTTGCCTGGCTGTGTGTTTCCTGGACGGGGCCGCCTTTTGCAGCTGCTTTTTGAGTCTCTGCTTCTGTCTCCTTGAACCCCAGTCGGCCTCAGCAGATGGCCGCTCACACTGAGCCTGGTTCTGCTGGAGGTTTCTTCCTGTTAAAAGGGAGTTTTCCTCTCCACTGTCGCTACAAGCATGCTTAGTGTGAGGGATTGCTGAAGAGCAACTGGTTTTCCTTAGATAGAAAACTTTGTATCAATTTGACTGTATGATCTGGTTGAACTGTAAAGTGCCTTGAAATGACATGTGTTGTGAACTTGGCGCTATAGAAATAAACTGAATTGAAAATTGAAATTGAATGTCATGTAACTACTTCTCCACCTCTGTCATCTATTATATTCTTAAAACTTATTTTTGAATGTTACAGCAAACTGTCAATTTCTAATGCTTCTTTAAGTACACAAGTTTGATTTATTAGATAAGGTGACAATGCATTTTAAAGTATCTTACTTTTCCTGCTTTTGGTTGCGAAGAATCCAAAGCCAACGATAATTATGATGATAACACCTGCCATTGCGGCGATGACAGCAATGCCTGTTGTGGTAAATGGACCTGTTCAGGAAACATTAAGCCAGTTGATCTTGGGATTGGTTGATTTATTTTAACAGATATTTCAAACTAGGTTAGATCGATCTATCTATAGAACAATATTTAAAACTAGGCAGCAAATGACAAACTAGAGCAATGACAGAGACATCTGAGCTATGAAAATAAACAAATTTAGTAACAATAACTTGCTTATTCCACTTTCTATAATTTAAGAGCATAATAATGTAGCAAATCAAAAGTCTTCATACCTTCATCTTCTATCACGTTGCTTCTGATTGTTTCTTTCACCAATTTGGTAACAACATAATTTTGAACTCCAGAGAGCTTAAATACACACTCATATCTCTCCCAGTCTTCATGTGGGATTGACAAAACCTGAAGATCAACACTCATCTGGAAGGATCCATCACCATTGGGAAGAATATCTCCATGTTTAACCCCTTCGTGAATCTCCTCTCCATCTTTCCTCCAGAACATATTGCTATTTTCAGGGAAGAAACCGGTTGAAAGACACGTAACCGGGGAAGAAGAGTTCTTCTGGAGTAGAAACACTGAGGGTAGAACTAGAAAGGAAGTGTGGAGAGGAGGATTTTGCATCATTATTAGGGCATGCAACTTTATAACGCATCTCATCACACAGTCAACAAAGGAATGACAAAGGCCACAAAAAATATAATAATAATCAAAAGAGACCAGAAGCATGACAACATGCTTAAAAATGATGCATCCTTAAAATACTAAATTTGTTACCTTTTCTGGTGATGTAGGGTTGCCCATATCTCCAAAACAATTTCAAAAAATTTGGGCAATCCTCTTGGAGCATGGTCTTCCAAAACACGTTACGGCTTTTGTTTTCATTCCACTTCTTCGTAATAGCTGCAGCTTTCGGATTTGTTGCAATCCATGTATCTCTCTTCAAGTCAATTTCAATATAATCTTCCCCATTGTTACCATACAATGCATAACCAACAGATGTATTAGTTTCTTCATCCAGTTCACAGCCTACGATCAGCTGAATGATCTCATTTTCTGAGAAATGTAGAACATATTTGACATTACATAGTAGACTGCTGTATAAACAAAATATCAGTTTCTGATAATGATTAGACAGAACTTCCTTGTTTATTTTATACAATTTTCAAGCAACGATTTGCATGATAAAAAAATAGAAATCATGATTGTGCAAAATAAAAGTAATCATACATATATTTTCTTTACAATATATACCTGAGCTCGTTTGGTCATTGAAATCGGCTGTCTCAGCTCTGAATGTCTTTCTATAATTCAAGCACTCCCGGTAATAGGCTTCCCACAGCTGATTGTTTTCCTTTATTAACTTATTAACCCAGTCATGTCTGATTCTTACTACATCTTCATAAGAGTAGAATGCTATAATCCCCTCCACTACTCCTGTAACTCCATGGACTGGAAAATCAGGTACTCCCGGATAGAGAAAATGGTGAAGGGACAAATAATGTTTTTCTGTTGGAAGAAAAAAAATGTATCTTATTACACATTCAAATTTTGATTACAATCTGTGCAAATTTATACAATTACAAAAAAAAGGTAATTTCACCTGCAAAACAAGAAGCTTTGTTATAAATAACACCCTTGTTATTTAAAAGATGCATATCTGTTCACCTTCTGGATAATAAAAAAAAATCTAATTGTTCATACCGGGTGCCACAGCTCTCCAGAAAACGATCAGCAAAGCCAACTCCTTCATGATTTTGGACGCTATCCACTTCGTCATTTTTGCGCAGCCCTTTTGAAGCAGAAGGAATTTATGTGTGATTTAGTTGAGAGCTTCCCTTTTTCCACCAAGTAGAGGTTGGTCGATGTGGATAATATTAATTCCAAGTTGGTAGAAGTATTAGTTCAAAACTAGGGTTGAAAGAGCGACAGTTAAAGTTGAGGCCAGTGCAGTCCCTCTATCAGTGTGTCTCCATGTGATTCCTCTGTATGATGCTTACATCATCGTTCCTCCCTGGGGATTCCTCTCTAATGGGGCTGCTCTGTTTCGTTTTAGAGAACCACGCCTTTAACACCATGATATCTTGATGGTGGCTTCTGTGCGCATTTTCCCCTGTTGCTCCTCCATGTTAGAAACTTTGGCTTCAACATTAAACAGCAGCAACCCATTTCACAGGATGTGATTGACTGTGATTCTCTAATAATATCCACGTATAGTTCGTTTTAAGATTTCTTTCTGTTTCAAAATAAAATCACAAAAGAAAATGTTTTTTTTTTTCTTTTTTGTATTTAGCACCACCCCCCCCCCTTTTTTTAAATGCGATAATAATAATAAGATTTTGAACTAATCAAAATTCCATAGTGCTTTATTTTTCCTTTAGCTTTCTTATCTCAAAATAAAATATATTTAAACTTAGACTTACACTGATTTTATTTTGTCATTTTGTATACACAAGTGCAAACAAAAAAGAAATTTCTTTAAGAACAGCTCTCTAGACTATTTCATTTTTTGAAGCGCAGCCTTGATAAGGTACGCAGCAGTGATAAAAAAAAAACAGTGTGATGAAAAACAGTTATGTAAACATATGACTGTATAGTTACAGTTCTAACATTCATTTCTGTAGTATATATGTAAGAGTTTTACTTTGTAGTGATAGTGGTTTTCCAAAAACTGAGCCAGAGGCATCATTGGGTTTTAAGGCAGAGTGCGACTTAGCCCTCATAAGAGATTTAAAACAAGAAGACGGTCTGCTCCACATTTCTCAGACAACTAACAATAATCAAAGTTGGTTTATACACAGTGGATATTAGTATTTGAGAAGGATATTTTTTTCTTTCTCTCTGAATAATCAAAACATTTGTTGGAAATATTTTTACTGCTGTTGTGATAATTTTTTAATTACTTTGTTTTTCGAAGGTCTACTTGGGCTGGGTCCTTATGCGTCATGACAGTAGGACATATGTGGATTTCCGATTGTAAATTCTGACCGAGCAGGCAGCGCCCTCTGCTGTACGAACAACGATACTACCCACAAAGGCATCAATTAGGGCGGTGTGACATTTGGAGCCAAAGTGAAAATAAAGGTGTAACTTGTAAAGTTGAATTTGTGACTCACAGCCACAGATTCATGCAGTTGTATTCATTTGTATTTGTGTTAAGGAAAACTAATATATAAAAAAGTGCAGATTTGAATATACATGATTGAATTTTGCACCAATTTTAGATCAACTGGAGCAATACTGAAGACATTTTTTATGTGCAACTCGTAGAAAAACATGTGTGTACTTGTACTCAAGAATTCAAAGAGATGTAACTTTTTTTTTAATTGTGACATATAAGAAAATGCACAATATCAAAACACCAAAGTTACAATGCACACAACTTCTGGACCTTTCAGAGCAAAACTAAGTAAGAGGTTTTTGATGTCAAACTTGTAGAACAGTTTTTGACTTGTAGTTACAAAGGGGCCCTCAAGGACCACAAGGGGTGGCCTTAGAGTCTTCTGAAAATAGAACAACTCAACAGTGAGCTACGTTTGAAGTTTCACTGTATTCTGTTGCTCTTCTTTTTTGAATTGGGTTATAGAACATTTCATAATTTACCGGTAATCAGTATTTATATGGCATTTAAGCATTTATAGAGATTTCAAAATGAAAATGTCTAAAAGAAAACTATAAATTTAAAGAAACGATAAAGATATGTATATAATATATGAAGTTTAGGTGAACATTGACCCTTGCCATTCATAGGTCAGTATTGGTAGCCCTTCCTGTGACTCAGTGCCCCTGAATTAGCCCTCAACTGTTGGTGACCGCTGCTCTAACCACTAGGCCACCTCTCCCCAACACAATTTTTTTTGTTAAAGCTATTTTTTTTTTTTTTTTTTGTAGCTTGTTCTAAAGTTATCAAGCTTTGGTGTTTCTGTCTTTAGTTTTCACAGCATCAAATAAAAAAATGTAAAGTGCCTGTCAGGAAGAATCATTGCCAAATTGTCTTGGCCACTGGTTTTTCCACCACAGGGTGGCGCTGCTGCTCTGAGCACAGAACTCGTGAGGATTACTCATACATGCAGGAATCCAGCAAAATACAACTGTGTATAATTTTGACTTAAGTTAAAGTTTAACAAAATGGATATAGTTATAGGCCCTTTAAAACTGAAAAAAAAAAAAACTTTTTACACTGAAAGTTCAAACTTTTCTTTAATCCAAGGGGTTTTTTGAAACTTACTTTATTATGAAATTTAATAATAATATTATTATCAAATTTCGATGCATACAGCTTTTCAACAGTGAATAAGCAGCTTGGGTTTTTTTATAGCTCCAATTTTTTTCTTTGGTTTAATTTTCTGGTACATTTCTTACAGTTTGTGGAATTACTGGTAATTTAAAGACAACTTCTATGCTAAGGTGTCAATGATTCCTCATCCTTGCCATTTGAGGCTCCGCCCCCAGAGGGTTAGGAGATTGAAAATAAAGAGAAATCTTAAACAATTTTATGATCTCAATCTAGTGCCATATAAACACACCTTACTGAAGAAGAAAACCAAAAAGTATTATCAACTCACAAGGAAGTACAATGACTATCACTTCAGCCCAGTTGTTCAGTTTTACTTTAACTCTGAATAAAATGTACCGTTTAATAGCATTCATGTTCTTCTATCATGCCACATCCTCCGGTAAGATTGTATTTTACATTGAAATATTCTAGCCTCTATTTTTCATTGTTAAGATGTTTGTATAAATATTCCTGTAATCTTGTTTTTGGAGTACAGATAATTGCAAGCATACACTTGATGTGTTTGGCAATGATGGTTTGGTGTAATAATGGGCTGGATCTTCTACTTTTGCTTTTCTCACGAAATGCTGTAGATGCTGACGATTGTTTTACCATTTATTCACAAAATTGGTTAAAATGTTAACAAAAATTAATAACTAATGATATATCATGACACCACCTGTTGGTGTTTAGTACATTTTTTACTTGTTTTTTAAATGTTTATTGGTCTAAAATTAGTCAGGATGGGGTTTACTCCCAACATAAACCACAAACCACAGTTTCAGTTAAATCATCCTTGGATACTTTCTTTCATTGAGGAGGACTCTTTTTTTTTTCAAGCCACCTACAAGAGATAGTTTAACATCAAATCTTATGCAACAGTAGAAAGCTTCATTTGATTTTATTACATTAGTTTATATGAAAGCTGACTGACCTGCTCTGCAACAATCTGAAAGTGTATTGAAATCAAACAGTTCGACAAAAGTTATGCACAGTAGAGGACATACTGGGGATTAAATTACATTTCATCAGATTTTGGGTGCAGAACCTAAACATTTAAGACAGCATTTCACTTATCTACCAAACAAATAATCAAAATGTATAAATAGAAACATTTTCAGACAGATGTTAAAAATGGCTAAAATTAGATAGGTATTTGAGCTATAATAAGAAGCTCCAACAAGTTTAGGTTTGAATATAAAAAAGGGGGATTGGGATCAGAGTCCAGAGGTTAAGTGGGCAGGAAGCAGAAAAGGACACAGAGCCGAGGATTTAAAAGAAATATACAGTATATAAAACATAATGTTATGATGTGACACATATACAGTGGAAGTGTGAAGTCTTTCTCATTCTTTACATTTCCTACATTAATCCTAACAGTTGTTGCTTTTGAATGAACTTTATGCATCTTTTAAAAGGTTTTACTAGTAACAGAGGCTATAAAGTTTTTTATATAGTTTCATGTTGGATTGTTACCACGAGTCCCATGTTAAAATGATTAAAACTGTTCTTCATATTCATTGATTTATATATATAAATGAATATAAAGATAAATCAGAATATATATAATTATATACATATATTTAAATCAGAAAATGTATTGGGATTTGATTACCCCATAAAGGTTTCCTTCTGAGAAAGGAGACGTCGAGAAGCGAGAAGTAAGTGAGATTCTTGCCAGCAGCAAAGGTCTTCAATTGGATTGTTTTTTAATATAGCTAAACATTTCTTTGTACCCAAGAATGGAATTTCTTTTAAAGGTATAAACTTCATGTCATGTTTTTCTATTTGG